GACAGACCTTTGCCTTAGCAGGGGATTGCATCGCATCAGAGTGCACAGAATTTGGTTAGCCACCGAGACATGGTGCAAGCCCACTGAGGGCTTGACAACCACAATGTGCATCTTAGCGTTTAATTGATCATTACCACAGACCACAAAACATTGTACTGCAACTAATTTTATCTTAGTAGAAGACAAAAAAAAAAAGACACAACAGACCAAAAAATAAGTATTTGTGTTCAGGCTTTTTTTTTAATGCCCTTGATATAGAAAACAGTAAAACTACCATTTACGTGTGATTTTCAATAACTTCCTATTTTTCAAACTTCTATCATCAAAACACTGACTTCTTGTTTCGTGCGTGAAGCACTTGAACCGAACAGCTGTACAGGTGTGAGTCGATGTACTCTTCATCTGTCTGCTGCTTGGCTGGGGCAGAGGGAAGGGGTGTATTTTGGTGGGCTCCCCAGGGCTGTACAGTGTGTAACTCCTTCACATTAATGTATGACAGAGTTTAAGTGCAGGGCACACACATGCACTCAAAACTGAAACTAAGAGGCATGAGTGCAAACAGCGATCTTTCCGACCCTTGGGCATTCTTCAACGTCTGAGTCAAGGATCAGGGTCTGATCCTGTGTTTATCCAGCATGGTATTTTATAAACAGATCAAATGAAATAGGACCTCAAATTGGAAGTGCATATTGGAGAACATGTTACATACATTAAGATACCTTAAAAGAACCTCCCATCTATTAATATACATATTTGCTGATACATGTTCTGTAAATAGGATGCTGCTAATTTCAGAGTTGCTGGTGTACGTTCAGTAAATACGCACTGCATGCTATTAGTTTCAAACTCTTTACTACTCTCCATACCGAAACTGGCACAGTCAATTATCACATCGACCATAGCACGCATTTGGAAAGGATCATGGAGATGCAGGGTTCACGCCTACTGCTTCTTGTTATGGTGTTTTATTTAAAAACAGACACATCACCCCACCACGAATTTAATTTCAGTTTCAATAGCTTGCTTTTGTACCAGGCTCACCAGTGGGGAATTTCTGCCTCCCACTCTCTGCATGGAGACTTTAAAGCTTTGCTCTTACAGAAACCGAATCATTTCTGGTAGCACAGTTTCGATTCTGCTGCTGCTATGGACCTCTCTCCGCCTGAACCTCATTTCTGATTTTTCAAATAGCTCCTGCCTTGGCAGCCCAGTGTCACGCTGCGGTTTCCAGCAGGAGAGAACATTTGCTCACTTACGGATGCCTGGTTTTGTTCACTGTCTTTCCGCCCAATTCCCAGCCCGGCACACCCTCAGCTCCTGCGTTCCCCGGATGTCCAGATTCCTACATACGATGGGCACATTTGCAGCTCATAAAACAGACTGCGCATTGCACTTTCCATCTTTATGGAAATCCATTATTTCTTTCCCTGAACGACCGCTCCTCCAGGTCTAATCACAAAAGATTTTCCTAGCCAAATATTTTTTTCTTGTGACTTTGCAAGCGCTTTCTTGCACAGCTGGGGTTCGAGCTACACAGCCTTTCCAGGTCAGCGCCGACCCGCCCGGTGCGCAGCTATCACCAGGCGCGATTTCATTTTACCTGGTTCGCGGCAGTTTCTCGGCTTTCTCTTCTCCTCCTTCAGGCCAACTGGTTCTCCGCCTCTTTGTGTTTTTATTTTTGGGTTTTATTTTTGGTTTCTGTAACTTCCTGCAGCGAGCATCATCACTTTCTCAGCCACAGTTCGTCCAACTGCTCCCAGTCTCATCCCCTCCTCCCCCTTCCCTGGCAGAAGCGGATCAGGCAATCGCAGCTGTAGCTGCTCGCTCCCAGAACACCCGTAGGAACCATGGCAAGGCCGCCCGGCCCGCTGCTCCCCCCTCTTCAGCTTGGCGAAGGTCCGGTCAGCCCCCACGGGCAGCTCTGCAGAGGCAGG